TAATTATATTTCTCAAATTTGATATAAAATAACCAAGCCTTCTGAAATCTCTCTCACACTTAAACTAGGGTATATTAAAATTTCTTAAACTTATTCCTCCTTCTGTTGGACTTGCTTCTAACAGATAAATGCATAAAAAACGAACAAACATGAATGAAAATCAACTTTATTGCAAATAAAATCCGAGCATTAAGTAACGCGTTTCATAGACCAACTCTCGTCCTATTAATAGTTTGGTCAACTACTCGAATATCTATCGCATCTTTCGCAACTCGGAAACATTCAATATGGAGCATTCAATTCACAATTTGCAGCTTTGAAGCTGAATTAGCTAAATACCGGTATTGCAAGATTTTTTATTGCTTTTACTTATGGACTTCATAACGTGATTAGTCCAGAATTCCCTTCTTTTTCGTTTCATTATCATATTTCGCTTTTTTCATGTATTACGGTGAATACATTCTTTTTTCCCCTTTAATATAACGGACATTATAACGGGCATTTAATATATATTAAATGTGTATAAGCAATTAACAATACAGTTATGAATCTGGGTGTTATAAGAAATGACAATGTATTGTATTTATGGGCATTAAACGTAACACAATGTCGTGTTTAATTTAGAATATTTTACGATACTGAATAAAGTTTTAGTATTATCGAATATCATCTTTTACTTTTCTAAATTTTATGTTTTTTTGATCTGAAAAGTGATTTATTTAATGGTTTTGATAAAATTTACTTTTCGTTAAACCGTTTCAAATTTAGTGCAAATTTGCTCTGAATTTGAAAATAAACATGCTTACTAAAATATTTTTAAATTCGGAAATGGCTATTTCCACTGAGATCCTTAATTTCTTCAACAAAACCCTTGCACCTCTTGGCAAAGATCTTGTTAATTTCCTGAATCATCCTGAATAAATCAATAATCGACTGCCAATACTAGTACGTACGTACGTACCAATCATATCTACTTTAAATCACGTGCCTTTAATTAACCAATTAGGATGATCGACTACAGCTTA